CCACAGAGCCCGTCATCCTGTCGAACTCTGAACTTGTGTGAATAATGTTAAAGTGTCGTTTGAGAAGAAAGTGATACCTGCGTACGTAGGTTAGTCTGTGGGGATGGTTAGTGGCTTAAAAATGGAGCTCTAGTCCTGCTCAAGCAGACGTCTAATCTTAAAAAACTTTGAGTAGACCACCTGTCACTCCCGTGTGAATCACAGCCATGCTTCACGGAAAAACACTACATTTCAGAGGGTTACAGTATTTTTCCACCACGCTCCCTTCAGGTGTGTCGAGCTGCAGGTTTATGAAGGATGTAAAGCTGCAAATTAACTTCAAATTTCACTGACATCATGATCGCCCTGAAACCGCTTCGAACTGCAGTTTGTAGGAAAAGCAACCAGTGTTTGTTTCTGCAACAGGAAGTGTGTGAGGTAGCTACAGATGATTATCACTGTACTGTAACTAGCTTTGGGAGATTATCTACATGATTGACCCACTTCTGTATGGTGATGTGTAAAACCACTGCCTGATGTGTTTATAACTTTATTACATTACAAATAAAATCCACTATTTTGATATTTGTCCATATATTGAAGGAAATGTTCAGTTCTCATATCCACGCGTGTCCACAGTGATCCTTAGTTGGAGCGTAATAGCTGCACTGATGAAGATCACACTGAAAAGCACACAGGGCTCGACACCCTATGTGACCAGACCACCGCTAAAGAATAAAGAAATACAGACATTGTTGTGTGTTGTGCCAAATGAGCTGTGATCTTCGTTCAGCTTCCTCAGTTATTCAGTTGATTCATGGAGTTAAGGTGAAAAAACCTTTGTATGCAGGACTGTCAGGTACTCAGATTTAAAAGGCGCTGTTCACAAGCATACATGGTCCAAGATGTTGTCTTCAACAAGGCTTGGATTTAAAAACAAATACAGATCAAACTAAAATGTTGAAAGTAAAATCACAATGACTCACGAATCTCATTTTAACTCAACGATATTAAACATAAGAGATTCCTTTTGGAAATGATGGATGGGTGTGTGCTCTAGAGAAGGAATCAAACTTCCTGTCAGCAGCATGCATGATATTATGGGGCTCCATTTACTCCACGCCGTGAATATTGGTGAAAGCACCGTTAATGGTGGCACGATCTGATATCCTCGTGTTGGTGTTGTTCCCAGATCATCATACTAAAGGTTGTTCCAGGATCAACATTGCAAGTGACCAATCAGAATGTTGTGA